CTTTGATTCGTATTGTGGATAATACAAATATTAAATCTTATATTCTGACTTTAAAGATTTAAAGACGTTTTTAATATGTATATTATATTTGATATTGAGATTTTGAGAACTCTTTTTAAGCAGTCCAGTTATTGCGTTAAAGAACACAATTGTTACCAATCTTTAAGTGATTCTATAAGTACTTATCGTACTTTAATTTATATTCAGTCTAAAGCCATAAAGTATTATTAAGACTTTGAATTATTGTTAAGACATTGAAAGTTTCTCTTTGAATATTTCTTAAATTTTATAAATACCTTTGAGTATTTTGAAAGCTCCATCAATATTCATTATTCAACCATATCTTTATATTATAAAATTGGAAGAGTATTAATCAAAATGATTACTGAAACTCATACTCAAAAAATGACAGATATTCAAAAGATTTTTAGATGATGTGTAGCAAACAAAAATATCAAACAGTGAGTAGTATTGTCATTTAGAATATATAATTACTTTTCATTTTATTAATTGCTGAGAATTAAATTAATTATTTTTTCTAGGAAATATTGGAAAAATAAGTCACAAAACTAGTGATAATTTTCAAAAATATATAAAAGATTTATTTGAATTTGTCAATAATATTTCACAAATAGTTATAGAAGATTTAGAAATAGTATAATTTATTTTTATATTTTTTATTTTACTTTTAATTTATTTTATGTTATTTTATTTTATATTTTTAATTTTACAGAGTAAAATATTTAACTTCGAGAAATCTATTGTGATATAAATTTTGATATATCACATGATTTTTTATAGTTTATTTTGATTGAATAATTAATTTTCATGTGATTTATAAATTATATTCATATTTATTTTATATTATCTGTATTTTATTCATATTATTTTTATGATATTTTTATTATATTTTTATTATATTTCATACTATTTCATTTTTATTCATATTATTTTATTTTATTCTTATTATATTTCATACTATTTTCATTCTATTTTATTCTATTTTTATTCTACATTAATTATAATTTATACTAATTATATTTAATTTATATTATTATTATTAGTATAAAAAATATGTGTTAATTGATTTATATAATCAAATTTGATTAATATTAATGGTGAAATTTATATAATATTAGAGCGAATGATATATAAACATCAAACAAACGAGCATTGTATAACCATCAAGCAAGCATTTTTTATAATCATAATATCAATCAAAAATAGCTTTAATATTTAAAGATTGAGTAACAATAACTTATATAAATATAACATGTATCTTAGCTTAGAAAAATAATTTTTTAGAATTAATCTTCTTATACTTTGATAATTATTCACTTTTGAATTTATTTATTCATTTTAATTTTTTTTTTGACAAAATCTTTTTAAAAGTAAGTCATATTATAAGTCTTGAGTTAGAGTTTTTCAGTTAAATATTAATTATCTCTTTTCTTTCTTATTTGTATTCTTTTATATTTAAAAGATCTCTCATCTGTAACAAGCAACATTATCTATAATAACATAATTAACCTCTTGTCATTACCTTGTGAAGTTGATTAATATTATTTAGATTTATAATAAAAGAAGAAATAATTTTATAAAAGTTAATCAATAAAAGAAAATTACTTAATAATTAAAATCAATTAAGTTAAAAAGAAGATTTCTAAACTTATTCTAGCAGTTCAACAAAATAAACATGTTATTACCTACCTTTATTAAATTAGTCTCTTTCAATTTTGATTATCTTAAATACATAAAAATCTTTAATAACTCTCTCACTCATTGAAACACGTGAAGAACACATAATATATATTTGAAAGATAATAAAACCAATGGAAACAGTAATAATAGTCACCACTCTCAGAAAAGCAAAATTTGATGATTATAGAGAAAATGTGATTATAGAGATTTTTTTTACTATATTTATATGTAAATGGAAAGATAACTATAGAGGATTTGATTGTAATCTTGATCTCAGCTCTAACTCTAATTCTAATACTTAATATTTAATATTAATCGGATATTTTAATGGACTTATTTCAGATCACATGACCCGACACTTTTTTTTGCCGTGGCGTGGCTAGGTTATTCTCGCAAAAACATATGACGTCATGTTTCATTGTTGATCTATCGCTATGATAGAATGTCAACTAACACGAAGAATTTCGCGAATTTTCAATGAGTTCCCAACATTTAATTCCTCCATTGGTAAGATTGCTTACTCTTTCTCTATTTTCCGGTAGCAAACCTCATATAGTGCATTCCTTAATAGCGTACTTGGTTTGAACAGACATTTTGGAAGGCAAATTTATCAAACAGCGTCCATCTTGTTTAAACTTGATTTCTTATAATTCAGTCATTTTTAAATAAAAAATAGTCATTGTTTGAATAAAGACTCTGTGAGGGAGGGAGAGAAGAATTCGTAAAAGATCCAGCGTTGTTAATGGAGAATTAAATAATATTAACTCATCATATTTTACATTTTAGAATTATGGAATGATCGAAGAGGCCTTGTATCGGTCAGGTCAACCAAACGAACTCAATTTTCCGTTCTTGGAGAAACTCGGACTAAAAACCGTGGTCTGGTTAGCACCAGAGGAACCGAATCAGCGATTGTAATTTCTCTCTCTCTCTGTGTGTGTGTGTTCATAACCTTGAATGATATTAACATACCAAAAATATAAAGCCTTAATTTCATTGACGATCAAGAAATAAAACTACACCATCTTGGCGTGATATCATCCGCGAATGCTTGGGACCCAATAACAGAAGAAGTGGTGTTGGAGGCATTAGAGTTGATTCTTAATCCGAGAAATTATCCAATGAGTATAATGTGTAATTTAGGCAGACATAGGACTGGTTGGTCCTCTAATAAAAAATAATAAAATTCTTTTATTGATATTTATATAAAAATTTATTATTTATTGGAATTATTATTATTTTGATTATTGATAGCAATGTTTTATTTTTGTTTCTTTATCCTCACAAAATCTCACATTTTCCTAAATCATATAAAAAGGTACAATCGTTGGCTGTCTTCGTAAACTCCAGCGATGGAATCTCACATCAATATTTGAAGAATATCGCCGATATGCTGGACCAAAAGTTCGTGTTCTCAATGAACAATTCATTGAATTATTCGATACTGATCTAGTGAGAGTGCCTGGTAATCGCCCAAAATGGCTTTGATAAAAGGTTATATTATTTATTCTTACGCTTTTCTCTAGAACTATTCATTTGTAGTTAATCCACTCCATCACAAACAATCAAACAGTAATTTCGATTTTTTTATAAATTTTTTTGTTTTTTTTATTAATCATTAATTCAAATAATAAATAACATTCTCAAAAAAGAGAGATTATATATATTATGTATATATTATATTAATGAAATTCTTCTGAATAATGATAATAATAAAAAGCAGAAGAAAGAAAAAAAGGACTTACTTTATTATTCAGAAGTAAGAAACTTAATTCCACTACGAATAACAAACAAAAGTTACTACTGTTTCTATTCAAATAGCCCCAAAAGTTCAAGGAAATTGGTGACGTTGATCAAACAGAGATGTATATAATATAATATATAGAAAGGGAATTGAATAAATAATATATTATTATTATCAATGTTAAATTTCAGGGAAGAGATCGAAAAGAGGAGAATATGTATTTATGTGAATATAATAAAATATTAAGATGAAATAAAAGCAACTAATAATATGGGATGTGGGGCATGTGAAACATATGATAGAGAACAAATAAAAGCATACCAAATTACATAAAGATTTGAATGGTATAAGAACTACTAAAAAAAGATCGAACATATAATAAAAATTTCCATAATTTAAGAATTTAACACTAAATTAATAGAATCCTATTAATAAATATAAGAGCTCAATTAAAGACGATGATGATAGTAAGTATATAGATAGAGGATAATCCAAATACGTATATTGTATGTTGTAATCCATTCATTATATTGATCTGCGGAATCTTAAACGGTAGTTACTGGTTCTTTATTCTCCTCAGTTGTAGCGGATTCTTCGGTCACGCCTGAAGGCGTCTTCTCTTCATCACCAGTTTGTTGAACGTGTTGGTCGCTCAATGCAACTTTAATGACCAATTCTCGCTCTTCGGATTTAACTCCTTTGAGCCCGTCAAGGGCCTTCTTTTGTTCTTCTTCATCAACCAATTCCACGAATCCAAATCCCTTTGATCGGCCGCCACGACGACGAACAACATGAGCAGAGGTAACATTGTAATCTTTGAATATTTCTTTAAGTCCGTCGTCATTGACCGAGAATGGGAGATTCGCTACAAATACAACCGTTTTAGATGGTTCGCCGGTTTTAGCAGCTCCAGCTGCTTGATTGAGATTGTGTTGAGAACGGCGACGAGATGGAAAACGTCCACGGCCACCGCGACCACCACGGCTGCGACCACGACGACGATAACCGCCACGAGAAGATTTTCCGGCGGTGGTTTCTTCTGCATTGGTACCATCAGCATTTGGGGCATCAGAGGCAGTTACGGCTGTGGAGTCGTTGTTTTCTGCGGCTTCTCCGCTGTCTTCATTGTTGCTGTGACTATTACGACTTGAGAAGCGGCGACGACTTCCCTATTATTCATTCAAAAAATCAGTATTTAGATATGATTTAAATTATCAATTGAATTTTTACAAAATAGAAAGCTTACCCAACCACCCCGTCCTCTGTTACGTCCTCCACGACCCCTACCACGACCTCTAGTTCTACCACGGTACCCCCCAAACCTACCACGTCCACGACGCACGCCAGAGATATTACCTTGGGCATCATGATTAGAGGTACTTTCAGTCTTCGGTTTGGCAACTTCTACGTTGATTTGGCGGCCACCTAATTCCAGTTTGTTGAGATCGTCTACGGCTTTCTTAGCTTCTTCTTCGGTTTCGAGAGCAACGAACCCATAGCCAAGGGACCGAGTGCCGCGAGTAATGATATTGGCTTTAAGCCTATTAATTTGTGTAAAAAATTTTGAATGATTAAATTTAGGTTCAAATTATCAAAGTCATAAAATAGAAACAAAATATATCGATAAATCAATCTTTGATGAATTCAATAAACTTGAATTCATCAGTTATATTAATTTGCTTTTTCGTCTTGATCACCTAAGAAATAAAAATGTCAAGTGAAAAAGAAATACTACGTACACTTTTCCAGCGCGGCCAAAAAAATCTGCGAGTTCTTCTTCGTTAGTTTGAAAGGACAAATTACCGACAAAGACCTTGTATCCAGCCTCTTCTTCTACGAGGGTTTCCTCATTTGCAGTTGTAGCTTCTTCAATAACGGTCTGTTCTGCCACGGTCTCAATAATAGTAGTAGTAGTAGTAGTAGTCACGGCAGTTGCTGCAGCGTCTGTCATGTTTTAATAATTCTAATTGTATATATGTATGTTTTTTATTTTCTGATGACTGCGGTGTGATTAAATAAATAAATTCAAGTAATTCTACTCTACGGAGGCGATACTAGTATTTGTCTCCTTTATGCAATGTTTCGCGGTCCAAAGTTGCGTGCTCGCTCGTTTAGGGTCGTAAAAAGATCCCTTCACGTTTCCGAATGTGTACTGTGGGAAGGGAAGCTCAATAATTTTGTATTTGTTGGATGCCTGTAGGGACTAGCCGGACTGAAGGCTCCTTTTTTAACTTTTAAAGTCCACTAAAGGGCTAGGACGGATGGCAGGTATAAAATAGAACACAGATTGCTTTCTTTTGCTTTCACAGGATGCTTGAGCAAAAAATGGGTAAGGCGGAGTAGTAGACAAACAGTTCCCATCTTATTCTTTTCGTTGTGAGACCATTGTGCTACGTAAATCTCAAGATCATTGGTTTTTGGCCATTTAACGTTTGAAAATGCGCATTTTCAATTCCTAATGTGATAAAATTCATTACTCGATCGGCGATTCATTTTATAATAAACATTGTCCAAATGTCCAATATTTGCAACAACACACTGTTGATCAAAAAATATTAGATTGAAGATTGATATTGATGGGTTGAAAACCGATAAATATATGCAAATTATTAAATAAATTAGTCCTACAGAAAAAATTTACATTTAAAGATAATATAAATATAATAATTAATATGCATCAAGAAGATCCGTCATTTCTATTATTATTTCTTTGCATAATATATAGGATCAACAATAATATATTGAATAATAGTCCAAAAGTATTTGTTAAACACTGAAAGCATTATGTTGAAGGGGGATAAGGAGGGTAAGCTTGACCAAATTGTGGTGGTGGATATGGTTGAGATCCTGCCTGAGCAGGGGGAGGGTAGACATTAGTAGGCGGATATGCTTGCTGATTTTGATAAATATTATTTGGTGGAAATCCGTAATTATATTGATTATTCGGGGGATAAGCGTTGGAAGGAGGATAACCTCCATTAATAGAATGTGGAGCAACTGGAACAGGAAAAGACAATGGAACACCTGGATTTACTGGAGGAGGACTATTAAGTGGCAAAGGTGAAGACTGTACGGGCGGAGAACTGACTTGTGGATATCCGGAAACACCACTTGCAGGCGGATATCCAGACGTGACCGGTGGCTGAAGAGGTAATGTGGCTTGATGTTGCTGGAAATAGAAATTAAATGTTAGGAAATAAATAATTATTAATTATAATAACTTGCAATATACTTACTGGAAGCGGTCTGCTTTGGATTGCAGGTGAATAAAAAGTTCCCGACGTTTGATGTACAGGGGGAGGATGATAAGTAGAATTATTCACTGGTGGATAAACATTATTCTGAGGTGAATAATTAACTGCAGCTGGTGCAGGATTCGGGCTAGTAGAATGAGGTGGAGGATATTGAGAATTAAGCTGCTGTTGTTGTGGATAAGCTGTTGTTAGATTAGGAGACTGGTGTGCTGATAAAGATGGTGTGTGCGTCAAATTATTATATGGTTGTTGTTGATGAGGGGCTGTTACTGGTACTGCATTTGCTGGTGGCCTTTGTGGATGACTTGAATTTATTATTCCTTGTGCTGCACCTGGCGGTGGTTCGGGACGATAAAGAGTCATTTCAAGACAAATTTCACCGACTTCTTTACCTCTATATTGAAGTTCAAACCAGTCTAACAATATAATATTATCCAAAAATAACAAAATAATAATAATTAATAAGTGATTTTCAATACAATCTTAACAAAAAAATAAAAATTCCATACCATCCCATTCTCCCTTTGTTAAAACTTCATTCAACTCAATCATCGTTTCTCCAAGTAATTCATGCTCGCGTTTATCCTCATTATACACTTGTATTTTCATTTTTTTATTACTCGGTTCATCTAACAATTGAAAACGTATCTCTTCGTCCCATTCTGGATTTTGTCCACCACGTTTAACCGTTTTTGTTCTTTTGGCATGGCTACCAATACGAAAAGTGGCAAAGGGATCAGCTTTCCCGATAGCTTCGCGATTTACCAAATTCTTCTGCAAATATTTAATAGAAATCAAAATAAGATTTAAAAAATGTGATACTCGATAGTTATCTTTTTACGACTTGGTTCATTTATAAGTTTCTTCTCTTAAAACTTACTGCTGCGATTACAACAATGACGAGTTCACCGAGCTTGGGTGCAGGTTTAGAAGACATGCCGCACGCAGTTTTTTTTAAATTAAATATTGAAATGAATTTGATTCAACATCGATAAATATAACCAATTTTGATTTCCAAAAATAGCGTTAGTTGGTCATTATTATTATGTGGTGAAAGATCTACCTCTATTGAAACATCCAATTATCCTTGAAATTGAAAAATACTTGGCATTCTTTTCTAGGTAACAATACAAAAAAGCTGGAATGTTCTAGAATTTTTAGTACTGGCCAAATTTTGGACGGGATTGTCATGAGTAAAATTTTTTACACTCGCGTCTTCCCAAAATGATTTCGAATATCGCGAAAAAAGGCTCTGGTTCAGCACAAGTACAAATGTAAACAACTTTTTCATATCATGTTAACAAAACCGATAAATACCAAAGTATTATACCTTGTTTCGTTTTTTCGCATGTAGTCATAAAATTTCAAAATCAGCCTATACTCGACATGCCTCCTCCACCACTTCAGGATTGAATAAATTTAGTAAAAATCTCACTCAGCCAAAGTCACAAGGTGCCGCGCAAGCAATGTGTAAGTGTTTAAAAGTGCAAATATTTGTACAAACTAACATGTTATGGTCATTTACTAATTTGCTTTATGACAAGTGTATGCTACCGGGCTAAAACCAGAGGATATGAATAAAGCTCAAGTTGGAATTGCAAGCGTGTATGCTTTATTTACTTAATTTTTCACTAGATCGTAGCTGAATTATTGAAAATATGATGTGTTTATTTCCAAAAAGTTGGTATGAAGGTAATCCATGTAATATGCATCTCCTCGATTTGGCTGCAAAAGTAAAAGAAGGTGTACAAAAAGCTGGATTGATCGGCTTCAGATTTAATACTGTGGGTGTTAGTGATGGTATAAGCATGGGCACCCGTGCAATGAGTTACTCGCTACAAAGTCGCGATCTTATCGCGGATTCAATTGAGACGGTAGCTTTGAATTTTTATCATCATTGATTTCGACATATTTATCAAGTTAATAAATACTTTGAATAACGATATAGGTAATGGGTGGGCAATGGTATGATGCAAACATAACAATTCCTGGTTGCGACAAAAATATGCCCGGTTGTTTAATTGCCATGGGCCGACATAATCGTCCTTCTCTTATGGTTTATGGTGGAACTATTCGTCCTGGTCAATCGCAGTGTGGTCAAGGCCCTTTAGATGTCGTGTCAGCTTTTCAATCCTATGGCTCACTTGTTGCTGGAAGAATAACTGAAGAAGAACGATATGATATAGTGCGTAACGCTTGCCCAGGAGCTGGCGCTTGTGGGGGAATGTATACAGCAAACACAAGTACTTCAATTACAAATTTATTCATTTTTAATTTCTCTGATCATTTCCTAATAAATACAATGACAATTTTAGTGTCTTCTGCTATTGAGGCGATGGGTATGTCACTACCCTATAGTTCTTCTACACCGGCAGAATATCCCGAGAAAATTAAAGAATGTTTAGAGGCCGGGAAAGCTATTCTGAATCTTCTAGAAAAAGACATCAAACCTCGTGACATCATGACTCGCGAATCTTTTGAAAACGCGATTGTAACAACTATGATACTCGGCGGTTCTACCAATGCCGTGTTGCATCTGATTGCAATTGCCAAAGCTGTAAACGTTGAATTAAATTTGGATGATTTCCAGAAAATTAGTGATGCTACTCCATTCTTGGCAAATCTTAAACCCAGGTAAGATTCTTGTTAAAGCGCGAGTAGTTATTATTATTATTATTATTATTTGCTACATATATACAAGTTTGCTGTTATGAAGTGGGAAATATGTTATGGAAGATTTGCACAAAATAGGCGGAATACCTGGTAAGTTGGCAACCATTGAATTACAAGTGAAATTCTCAACAAATTTTTAATATTCCTTTCAATAATTTTAATTTCAATAAGCACTTCTCAAATACTTGCTTCAGAACAATCTTATTCATGGTGACATCTTAACTGTAACCGGCAAAACACTCGCCGAAAATCTCGAAGATGTCGATGCCCTTAAATTTGACCAAGACATTATTCATCCTCTCTCAGATCCCATCAAACCAACCGGCCATATACAAATCCTTCGTGGCAATCTAGCACCAGAAGGCTCGGTCGCGAAAATCACTGGCAAAGAAGGATTGGTATTTAAAGGCGTGGCTAATGTATTTGATGGAGAAGAGGAGATGTTACTTGCATTTGAAAGAGGCGAAATTAAGAAAGGACAAGTAATTATTATTCGGTATGAAGGTCCTAAAGGTGGTCCTGGAATGCCCGAAATGTGCAAGTATTCTTTATCTAGGATCCCCTTTTGAATTTTTTACCTTTTGATTCTTTTACCTCTATTCTCTAATTGATTGTGTTGTTGATAGTGACACCTACAAGTGCCATCATGGGTGCAGGTCTTGGTCAAGATGTAGCCTTATTGACTGATGGCCGGTTCTCTGGAGGAAGCCATGTAATTTTTTTCTCCCCAATAGTTTTTATTTTCAGATGATATGCAAATAACCTTTTTATATTTTTTATGGTTGAAAGGGATTTATTATTGGACATGTAACCCCAGAAGCTCAACTTGGAGGACCAATTGCTCTTGTTCAAGATGGCGATGCAATCACAATTAACACTCAGCAAAAATGTATACAAGTTGATATTTCCGATGAAGAATTTGCAAGAAGAAAGTCTAATTGGAAAGAACCCCCGTTTAAAGCGACACGGGGAACATTATATAAATATATAAAAAGTGTTAAAACGGCGACTGAAGGTTGTGTCACTGATGAATAATGTAAAAATAGTAAAGGTGACTTTCAGAATATAATTTCCATGTCTAGGTTTTCTAAATAGAGCATGCAATAAATATTTTTATTTTTTACTACTATTATTTAAGCGATCGATTACACTTCGTTAAAGGAAGTTTCCCCTTTAGTGGTCACTACTTCAACCAGTTTTCCATGAGGAACCGGAATTTTTCCAGTTGTCCAATTATAAAGACGCCTAAGAAAATTATTATATTATCGACCAGAAATTAATTTTGAATCGTATCGTTATCAAACATAAAAAAAGAAAGATTATATTTGTACATACTGAGCCAGTGTTTCAATAGGTGTATGTGATGAGAAATCGGAATCTGGACTAGCTTCACGTGCACTTTGCGTGTCAATCATTTTGCTATTAAGAGTCATCGAACAGATTGGGAGTTATATTATTATAAGCATCGTGTTATTTCGAGAAAGAATTGACTTACGGTAAAAGTCCCACGACTTTAGTATTTGCAGGTAGCCCCGATTTTGGAGATGCTAGACTGTGCACAAGCTGGTGTGCTCCTGCTTTAGCAACTCCATATCCTATGAAGGCTATTTTTAAAGACAAATGGATCAGTACAAGAGTTCTCTTCATAAAAGAAAAATTGCAAGCGATAAGCATTACCAGGCGTCGCGTGTAATCCAGCCACTCCGGCCACCGTTAATAAGCCATTTCTGAAGTATAACGAAAAGATCTTGATCTTTACCAAAAACCTTAATTAATGGTTTTGTTGTTTTCCACTTACTCTTGAAGATGATGAGCAGCCAATTTTGCAGAAATCAAGCTTGACCACACAGTCTTTTTCAACATAAGTTCGGAATTCTTCAGGAAATCTACATCGAATCCAGCGGAAATTTATTGCTTTTTCATGTAAAATTTAATTTGAGCATCTAAAAAATTAGTACCTTTGTGAGCGGCATTACCCATTGCGAAACCACCAGCAACACACAAAATTGCAGCGTATTTTTCTCCTTTTAAATACTCATTCGTCTCTCGCAAGACCTGTTCACCTTGCTGTTCAAGAGAAGTGTTTAACGAGACCACAATGTTGTGCGTTGCTTGATTGTTAGGTCGCGTGCCTACAGAAGTCACAACCTATATTATAGGAATAATGTGTAGAGTCAAACAAATGTGATTATATGAATGACGATAGATTTAATATTGATAGCGCACCCAACCATGTGAGCAAAAAAGTGAAACTACACCGTTGCCTAAAGCACCTGAACCGCCATATACTAGCACTTTTGAAGTCATCTTGTAAGAAAGTCAGATACGCGCGTTTGTTCGAATTATCTCATTTTAAATAGATCATGCACGTGTATTGATTTATTCAATTTAACAATGGTTTTATATTTATTATATAAAAACCGTTTTCTCATATAATGATAATTTGAAATTTTTAACTAAGTAATAGGGAAAATATTGATAATTTCTGATTAAGGTACACTGCGAATGCTACACTGAGAAAAAAACTGTACAAATATGAATTTTGGTATATAATCAATCGGAAGATGACCGACTAACTCAGAAAGAATGGCTCATAGCTGAGATAAAGATTAGATAAAATGTAGAATATATAAGAAATATTATAGAAAATACAAAGGTATCAATGCATCATCAAATATTAAAAACTAATGCTCAGCTAATTTCCGATTCCGTCTGGATGATATTATTTAGTAACGCAAGGAATTTTGTTGTCCATTCATTTGATTTTGTGACATATGTTGAGGAACTTGAACGTGTGTCATTTGAAGTTGTCCAGAAACATTTCCTGGCATATTTCCACCATTAGATACCATCCCGACACCCATTCCAACGCCGCCAGGATTCATTCCAGAGATTGACGAAGCGATTCCTGCGACACTTTGCATTGTATCTATTCCCATAACACCATTCGCTTGATTGGTGATTGGACAATCTTTATGTGCAAGTAACAATGTTTTTAAATTGAGAATTTCCTCGCGTAATTGTGTGGCTTGATTTTGCAAATTCTCATTGTCTTGAGTGAGATATTCAACTTTCGCTTGCAAGTTGGCAAGCCATTGTTTCTTGCGTTGACGACATTTAAGCGCAGCTTGTAGAAATTATAAATAATTGATTATAACATTAAATAAACCACATAAAAAAAAATAAACATCCACAAAATAAAATACCTTGTCGATTTCTTTCCAAGAAATTTCGACGTTTTTCCTCCATAGACATTTCTTCTTTTGGTTTTTGCTGCTGAGTGTTGGCTCTCTTTGATGGCGGTTGTTGATCAGTAAGATTATCTTCCGTTTTTCGTCGTCCATTCCTTACTCCTGACTTGCGATTGGATGATGACGAAGTACTTATATTAATATTCATTTGCGGATCGATACCATCAAATGAATCATCTTCAAAACCGTCATCAGACGAAGCTGCACTACTTGTGGCTGTAACATTTGAACTTGTTGGTCTAGCATATCCTCCGCCATTATGCGTTGAATATAAATTATGATTATGATTATGATTATTGATATGTACAAGAGAAATGAGATCTTCATTTTCAGTTTTTGGTACAATCGATTCCGAAATCCCCACTCCATTTCTTAGATTTTGTGGATCTGAGCGTGATTTATTATTAACTAGAACGGTAGTAGCATTCGGCAAACCTCTATTGTTAACATTTGAATTATTAACAATCACAGCTTGAGCTTGAGTTACCAACTGATTGGGAACCAATGAATTTGTAGTTGATGTTGGGTTTGATGAACCATTAGGAATATTTATAAGACCACTTGGAGCAACCGATCCTGCTGGAATTATTGAAGATGACGTTGTTTGGATAGTATTATTGTTGTTGTGGTTGTGGTTGTGGTTGTTGTTGTTGTTATTAGTATTAGTATTATTATTAGTGATGGTAGGGTTATTATTAGAAGCATTTG